TCCAGCTGATAAGAAGAGAGGGCATATGCATAAGAACACCCACACTTGCAGATAATACTCACTTGTCCTGGCTTCAATAACTGGATGATCAGAGCTCAACCAGAAATAAAAAGAAGAGGGAAAAAAAAAAGTATTATCATACAATTTGATGAACTTGACCTACACCTATGGAAGCAGTAGCTCAAAAGAGGGAATAAATCCTTACAGCAAGAATCATTCCCACCCCCTCCACACACAGAGTAGACAGGGATGGGCAACTTGGACATTGGCTACCCATAATGGGGGGTGGGGGACTACAAAGGCAAGAAGTGACTGGCTTACAAGCTTTCAAGGGGGAACCTAGATCCAGAGGGCCTGGAAGAAGGTAGTATCTCCAGTGAGTAGTATTCAATCTGACTACTAGAGGCTGATGCAATGAAATGCAGACGGGTCTCTTGTGATACAATAGTGAATAATTGTTATCAGGACTGATTGTGAGGATTGGAAATGTAAAGGTAGACGTTTTATAGCAATGAGGGGAGTGATTGACTTTTCAGTCTAGGAGCGGAGGTCCCTAGGACCATCAAGGGAGAAGGGCAGAGAGCGGGACTTTACCCAGAGAAGCAGTGATACCTGAAATGGAGCCAGAGATGATGACGTGCAGTGATGGAGCAGCTGGAGACTTTAGATCCAGAGAGGGAAAGCGACTGTGTGCTGAAGACCTGGAGGGTAGGGGGAAGGATTGCATGGAGGCGATTGTAACCATGGCAATGAGACGATACACGATAGAATGAATATAAAACTAATGTTCTCCCATGTAAACTATCACATAATTCACAATTTTAAAAAAAAAATGCATTATAAAGTAAATGGGGCTGAAGCCATCAAAGTTCTAATTGGTATCCCTTTACCTGGAGCAACAAAGCACAAAGAAGCATCAGGAATGGGAGGTGGACATTGAAGGTGTGTATGGTTCATTCCAGGAAGAGCTGCCTCCTTTGTCATGCATGATGCTAGAAGAACTAGGTGGTGCCCAGCTACCATTACTGATCATTTGGATCAAAAACTTCTATAGAAATATCCTGAAGAGCAGGATAGGAAGGGGAAGATGCTGAACATAATTTTCAAGACTGAAGAGTGAAAGGATAGAAGCACCTGAACTCTTGTCCAACACAGTGTTGTCAGTTGTCAATTCTGACTCATGGCACCCATTTGAGCAGAATAGACCTGCTCTACAGGGTTTTCAGGAGTCCTGGTGTGGCACTGTTGGGTAAGTACTTGTGACAGCAAGGTTAGTTTGAACCACAAGGTTGGCAGTTCAGACTCAATCAGCTGCTCCTCAGAAACCCTATACAGGGTTGCTATGAATCGCAGTCCTGGTACGGTACTGTGGGCTAATGTGTCAGACTATAGAGTCGTTTGAACTGCAAGATCAGTGGTGCAAGCTCACCAGCTGTTCCTTGGAAACCCTATAAAGGGTCACTATGGGCCGGAATCGACTCGATGTCACTTCACAACAACAACATGACTCAGAACCAACTTGACAGCCCTTAACAACTACATAAGGTTCAGAAGCAGATCACTAGACCTGTCTTCTGAGTTGCCTCTGAGTAGGTTCAAACTGTCAACCTTTTGGCTAAGTAGTTGAGTGCTTAACCATTTGCACTGGACATAAAGGCATTCAAAAATGTTTGTTAAAGGAAGAAAAGAGAGAAAGAGAAGCTAATCTGAGATTTGAAGAATGTTTTGGAATTAATTAGGGAAGGGGAAATAAAGCTGTATTTGCAGAGAACAGCAAAATATTGAAAGATAGATAAGGCTCCTAAGAACTGAAACAAATTCTCTGTGTGACTGGACTGTCGGACATAAGAGAAGAGTTAGAGCTGAGGCTGAAGACGTTTGGCCAGTCAGATCCTGGAAACCCTTGTTAAAAGTTTTACTTTGAAGTGAGTAGGAGAGTACAGGATCAGAGCTGTGCAATATAGAAAGTGGATTGATTGAAGAACACATTGGCACTAAAGAGACCAGCTAGTGCTTAGCAGTGGTCCAAGGAAGACTTGCAAGCATTAAAAAAAGATCTGATCTAGGATAGGAGCACTGTGGTTAAAGCACTTGGTTGCTATAGAGTGATCAGTGGCTCAAACCCAACAGTCCCTCATAGGAAAAAGACATATAGAGTTCTGCTTCATAAAGATTGTTGTTCGAAGTCATTGTTGAGTCAGTTCCAACTCATAGTGACCCTGTATATGGTTTCCAAAGAGCAGGCGGTGAGGATGAACCCCTGTTCTTGCAGTTCAAATTGACCTTGCAGTCCAGTGCATTAACCCACAGTGCTACACCAAGACTCTACTCTTAGAAACCTTATGGGACAGTTCTACTCTGTCCTACATGGTGGACTTGATGGGTAGACTCAGATAGTAGCAGTAAAGATTCAAGCAATTCTTAGGTTGCTTTTTTTTTTTAAAGAGGGTATGAAGATGAGGAAACCAGGGTAACTCAGATTTCTAGTTTGAGCGGCAGTGAAAGATAGTGTGGGTGATGCTATAGAAAATTCAAGAAGAGAGAAGAGATTTTTCAGTGACGATGATAAGGATCCATTCTGGATGCATAGGATTTGAGCTGCCTCTGGGTTATTTAAGTGGTGCAGTGGGCTAGGCAGCTAGACATACATACAAGTCTGCAGCCTACAGCATGGCAGGGGAGGCCTGGCCTGGAGTTATCAGTGTATAGATAATAATTTACATCTCAGAAGTAGAGGTGATAGCCTAGGGAAAGCAATGTGGAGTAAGAGGGAAGGACTTGGGTCCAAACCCTGAGGAACAAAGATACACAGAAAAGGAGATGAGACAGATGGGTAGAGTGCAAGAAGAGAACAAGTTTGTGTCATCAAATCCAATGGAAAAGGAAGGAATGGTCGGTGCTGTCCAATCTTCCTAGAGATCAAACACAATGAAAAGGCTCCGTGGGATGAGTGATGTGAAGGTAACCTTGGAAGGTACAGTAGAGAAGCAGATACCAGCTTCATGTAATACCATTAGTAATGGGATGCCCTGGTGGCGCTGAGGTTAAAGCACTTTGCTGCCATCCAAAACGTCAGTTGTTCAACCCCACCAGCTGTTCTCAGGTGAAAGATGTATCCGTCTGCTTTCGTAAAGATTTACAACCCTGGAAACCCTATAGAACAGTTCTGTTCGAGCCTAAGATCACTATGAGTCAGAATTGACTAAACAGCAATGAGTTTGGTGTGATAGGCTGCGATGTTTACCATCTAAGGATGAGTGGGTGGTAAAAACTGGAGAAAACAGAAACAATACGGAAAATCAGTGTGCTGCGCTAAAGAATACATATGAATTCATGTGTATAAGATAAAAGGGGACTTCAAAAAGTTCATGGTTTTATAAAACCATTGTTTTAACTACCAAAAAAAATTCCTTGGTTTATCTGGGACCAGGTGTGCAGAAGGGCTACTCACTGCACCTGAAGACAAGAATGTTTTGGGGTAATGGAAATGCACTATGACTTTAAAGTGATTGTTACACAGGTGTCAAAATTATTGCATGCATATTATACCTCAGTAAAACTATACACAGTTAAAACAAAAAATGAATGTAATTCTTTCATTAGAATTCATTTCATTTGTAAGGTAGAAAGAGAGAAGGCTGTAGCTGAAAAGGCCCTTGAGAGTATAAGGGCTGTAATCTTTACAGAAGCAAACTTGACACACAGCTTTCTCCCTTAGCAGGAGAGTTCTTTTTTCAGATGAGCAAATTTGAATGCTAAGGGAAGGAATTCATTGAGGGGAAGAGGTTGAAGAGATAAAAGATGCAGCATAGTGAAGGAACCTGCTAACGCGTGTACATTAGAAACTAGAGTCATCAGGCAACACAATGCCAAAAACACCGGATTTCCTGCTCTGGAACCTTCCTAGTATAGAAAGTAGGTTGCTTATGCAGTTTGTGTTCTAGAATCAATTCGGAGCGGCTGTGTGTGAACCACCAACCTTGATGTTCAAACCAACCTTGCAGTCTAGCACATTAAACCACAGCACATCAGGACTCATTTCTGACATTGAGTTCAACACATTCTTCATCTACACCAGGACTCCTCCTTACCATTAGAAATTCTATTGTTAGGAAATCAGAACAATCCTGTTGCTTTCTTCACTGTTAGCAATTGTTAAACAATACTAACAAATCTAATAAACATGAAATAAAGCAAGGAACCTATCTTTCTGATCTATTGAGTGTTTAGCTCATTATACTATTTTAATGTTACTATATTAGATGAAAGAGATGGTGTTTTGAAATGTTTAGAAATTGTTTATACTCCTTCGAGTAGAGTTTACTGACCCATACATTCAAAAATATTTATTGAATGTGTGCTATGCACAAGTTACTATAGAAGGTGATTTGGAGACTACAAAAATGCACTGACCTATACCATAAAGGGGCACAGAAAAAGAACTGTTAATTCAGGGCATTAGAAACAAGGGGATCATTTAGGAAACTATTGTAATAATTCAGTCAAAAGATTATCAGTGCTTGAACCTATGAGGTCGAGACAGTGAAGGCAGAGAAGGGGAGGAAATGTGAGCTACTGCAGAAGCAAAATTGGTGATTGGATAGAGAGCAAGAAGAGGACAGGGTAAAGCCCGGCTTACCTGACAGAGCCATCAGCCCTGATATAGTTCAAGAGGAAGAGTGACTTGACAGGGAGATCAGAAGATAAATGGAGAGATGTTACACCACCACCCAGCAGACTGAAGTTTATTGGGGGGACCAGCCCTAAACCCTAAGGCCAACTCCTGTTAGGTCTAGGAAAGGGAGCAGCTCCCCACTGCTGCTAACCCCTTGGAGCCCCAGAATTTCAGATTTGCCTTCATTCTACCTGTATCTTTCTCTGTAATCCTTTCATTGATTCTCAGTAACCCTTTTGGCGCGTGCTGTTGGTTCCTGCCAGGACTCTAGCACATCTCATTCATGTCTTCTGTATCAACTATGCATGTGTAATTGTGTATTGGATTACCTACAGGAACTATCTGACAGGAGAGAAACGCAACTGTTGGGAATGGTTACCACCTGGTAATGGAGATGGGAGGAGCAAGGGAAAAGAGAGGGATTTTATTTTGTGTCTATACTGTTTGAATGGGAGTCTCAGTGTGGCATTGTAGAATAAGCACTGGACTGCTAACCACAAAGCTGGCAGTTCAAACCCATCAGCTGCTCCTTAAACTCTATTCAGAGTTGCTATGAGTCAGAACCAACCCGACAGCACTTAACAACATTGACAACATACTATTTGAGGAGTCCTGGTAATGTAGCAGGCTACATATTGGGCTGCTAACCTCAAGATCAGCAGTTCAAATCCACCAGCCACTCTGAGGGAGAAATATGAGTCTGTCCCCATAAAGATTCATAGCCTTGAAAACCCTATACAGAGTCACTGAGTCAGAATCTACTCAATGGCACTCAATGGCACATAGCAAAGTAAACTATTTGAATTCCATAAAACAATAGGCTTAAAAACAAATAGGTTTAATTCACAATAAAACATTAAAAAAATAAAATCAAAACAAAACAAATAGGTTTGTTCAAGAGGGAACCTAGATCCAGAGGGCCTGGAGGAAGGTAGAATCTCCAGTGAGTAGTATTCAATCTGACTACGAGGGGCTGATGCAATGAAATGCAGACGGGTCTCTTGTGATACAATAGTGAATATTGTTATCAGGACTGATTGTGAGGGTCGGAAACGTAAAGGTAGACGTTTTATAGCAAAGAGGGGAGTGATTGACTTTTCAGTCTAGGAGCGGAGGTCCCTAGGACCATTAAGGGAGAAGAGCAGAGAGCGGGACCCTACCCAGAGAAACAGTGATGCCTGAAATGGGAGGCAGAGCTGGAGACTTTAGATCCAGACAGGGAGAGCAACTGTGTGCTGAAGACCTGGGGGGTACGGGGGAAGGATTACATGGAGGGGATTGTAACCATGGCAATGAGACGATATACGATAGAATGAATGTAAAACTAATGTTCTCCCATGTAAACTATCACATAATTCACAAAAAACATTTAAGAAAAAAAAAAGGCAGACCTGGGAAACCTGTGTCTGAAACATCAAGGTACTGAAAAAAAACAAATAGGTTTGTATTACTTTGAAAATTAAATATTTTTTAAAGTAGATTAAGAAAAAAGTAGGTTAAGAATTATCAATCAACCTCGTGTAAGAAGTTCAATAAATTCACTGAGTAAACACAAGACCTTCCAGTTTGTTCTGTAAGACCCATCTGCTCAACAAAGCCATAAGAAAACCTCAAATTTTAAAATGATTTAATGATAAATAGATATTGGCAGACATTATGAAATTCTTGTGTAAAGGAAGTATCCATCATCAGGGCTCCCAGCCCTTCCCTCCAGGCTGACGGGGCAACTGGAGACCAACCAAGCCAGCAATCTGCTCCACTGAGCGCTCCCCCTTGCCGTGAAATTCCTGATGCAGAGCCACATGTTGCCGGACACTACGCAGCAGGCACAGATAGGTGGCAGCTTGGAAATGAAGCTCGTGCTGGGCTCTACATAACTTCTCACTGGTGACCTGGAGAGACAGCAAGGTCAGATACGATTACACACACACAAAGATGTCTAAGTCAAGCATTAGCTCAAACTTCACAGAAAATACAAGCGTGTGCCCTTGACATATACCGAGATGTTCTATAGGACAGCTGAGCTCCAGCTACTCAAAGAGGTATTTTAAGAGGTATTTCATGGACTATAGTGTCCCCAAGGTTTAAACCTAGAAGGAATCATCTAGTTTCAGCTCACTGACTTTATAAATGAGGAAAGGAAAGCACAGATAATGGCAGAGATGGGAACTACAACCAGGTCACTGCACGTTAACTTTGCCAAAGAAGAGAATGCGGAACAGTCTCTCCTTCAAAAAATGAAGGGCTATGTGATTGTTTGCACAACTTTGGTTAATGCAGCAGGTGACCTTTACTGCAATGAAAATTAGAAATATATCTTGCTGGAAAAATAACAGCTTTGTCCTCAATGTTGTTTGTTGCTAGGTGCTGGGTCAGTTCCAATTCACAGCGACCCTGTACAGGGTTACCGAGGCTTTTAAGTCTTTGCGGAAGCAGGAAGCCTCATGTTTCTCCTGCGGAGCTGCTGGTGGGATCAAACTATGGACCTGTGGATTGTAGTCCAGTGCTTATTATTTGCAACCACCAAGCTCCCCTTGTCCTCATAGTAACATAATTGAAGTTTTATTTAGATAAAAATAATATGCCTGTGTTCATGACTTCATTCTATCTGCTTTCACATTTATTTATGACCTTATAAACCTGGAAGTCCACATCCATTGTCTCAGTCTCCAAATCTTATTTTCTCAGTACACTGAATTTCCAGATTATATAAAATTAGCTGCCCCTTACGTGTTAGTTTTGTTTTCTGAGATAGTGGGGAGGAGAGATGGATATGTGCACAGCCTCAAGAGGCTTAAGGTGCCCAGTCCAAGTATGGATTAGTCCCCAGGCACCAAGGCCAAAAGAGTCTCCTTCCTTTGACCTTTCTTTCTGTTTTTGAACATGCTGGTTGAAATTCAAGAACTAGAATGTGTGAATTAAGATATGCAGCTCACATGTGAAACCACTCATTAGCTACTGAAAAGCAGAATTTATCTATTTGATCAAACATACTTTAGTAACTAACCACATATGAGATCAATACCAATCTTGAGCATCAACAAAGGGTCGCTAACATTCATTTGTATCAGACCAGCCAGCAGTTGTTGGATTTGAAATAAGGGTTCTGTGTCAGTGTAGGGCAGAATTCTGATCTTGATTTGGCAAAATCGACTTGGTAACAATGGGTTTGGGTTTAAGAAGTGAGGAGAATAGAGCCAACAATGAACCCAACCACTGCCATCAATCCATTCCAACTTACAGGGATTTTGGTGTGGCACTGTGGGATAAAATGCACTGGACTGCAAGGTCGATTTGAATTACGTCTGCAAGTTCAAACTCGGCAACAACTTGAAAACCCTATATAGGAACCGACTTGATGGCACTTAACAACATAGAGCAGAGAATTGTTTGTAGGGTTTCTGAAACTGTAAATCTTTTGGGGAACAGCTGGTGATTTGAACCACTGACCTTGTTGTTAGCAACCTAGTGCTTACCCCACATCTCCACCAGGGTTCCTTGGATCAACAATTTTTGGAAACAGTAGGGTTTCCCAGGAGCAGCTGGTAGGTTGGAACTGCTAACCTTGTGGTTCACATGCAGTCCATTGCTGATCCTGCGGTTGCCAGGATCCCACTAGACATGGTAAATAAAACCAAAAAGTGCATTCTTCCCCAGGAGAAAGGATGTTTCTGAAATTTTTAGCATGAATTTCCACTGTCACCTCCATCACACTTCAACGTTTAAATTCCTGCCTCTGCCTACTTCATCTTCCTTTTTACCCTACCTATCCTAAGCTGTAGACCTTCTTAACAATTGTTCTCACTTGAGGTTTTCTGTTCTAGTCTCTTTACCTAGATCCTCATTGTTCCAACCCCTAATTTACTTGCTAACTACAATTTATCCCTTCAGGCTCCAGCTTAATGAATTTCCTCCTGAAAGCCTAGCCTAACTCCTCCTTCCTGTACTAGGCCCATTCCCCTCTTCTTCTCCCTTTCTTATTAAGCGCCATCCTGTCAGTTCCAACCCATCCGGATCCTGTATAGGGTTTCCAAGAAAGCTACAAGATTTCAACTGCCTGCTATCTTCCAGTGCTGCACCAGGGTTCCTTTTGTTCAGTGTGTCCAGTCAGTTCCGACTCATAGTGACCCTGTACAGGCTTTCCACTGACCTCTTAGCTAGCAACCTAATGCTTACCTGACCTTGTGGATAAAGTCTCCCTTCTTGTTATGTGCTTTCAAGTCAGTTCTGACCCCTCTATGTTGTTGTTGTCAGGTGCCATCGAGTCGGAACTGACTCATAGCGACCCCATGCACAGCAGAACGAAACAATGTCTGATCCTGACCCCATGCACAGCAGAACGAAACAATGTCTGATCCTGGGTCAACTTCGCTACTGCTGTCACACTTGACGCCATCAATGATACCACCTGACTGATCCATCTAGTTGGGGGTCTTCCTCTTTTTCTCTGACCCTCCATCTTACCCAGCATGACATCCTTCTCTAGCGATTGTAGGGTTTGGAAAAGCTGCTGGTGAGTTTGAACTGCCGACCTTACAGTTCAAACCTACAGTCCAATGCATTACTCTGCATCACCACACCCTTGTTGTTAAGTGCCATCAAGTCGGTTCTGACCCACAGTGACCCTGTATAGGGTCTCCAAGAATATGTGGTGAGCCACACCCTTAGCCCTAACTTATTCTAAGTGCTTCATTGTGTGCCACCTCAGGTGTAATGTAAACTTTTTAAAAGTCAAGACCTATGTGTATCTTGGTGTCCTGGTGTGGCGATATGGGTTAATCCTCAGGACTGCAAAATTGGTTTGAACCTCAAGGTCAGGGTTCAAGCTCACCAACCGTTCCTCAGAAACCCTATACAGATAGGGTCGAGGTGGTTCGAAACCGACTCAACGGCACTTAACAACATGTGTATCTTGGAGTCCTGATGTGGTGCTGCAGAATAAGCACTGAGCTGCTAATCTTAAGAAGGTCAGCAGTTCAAACCCACTCAAAGCTCCTCAGAAATCCTATACGGTGTTGCTGTGAGTTGGAACAGACTCAACAGCACTTCTCAACATGTGTGCCTTATTCACTGTTCTTTAGCTCGTTTCTGAGACAGTTCTGAACATTATGGTTCTGAATTCTACTTAAGATTTTGCATTCTAACACTTCCATGGCTCTCAGAAGTTCAGTGGTTAGGATGAAAGTTCTCCTTTTTCCCCAAAAAATGCTCCATTTCATTGCCTAAAGCTCAAGCTGGCTCTCCAGGTTTCTTCCCAAGGCTGTTCCGTAACTCCATTACGTGTAAGAATCCTAAATTGTACATGTTCTCTATGCCACGTTTGAAAAAGGTAACTCGCCCACTTACTCTTGTGTCAGGGGGATAAGGAGTGTGGAATTCGCAAGCTTGGCCTCCCGTCTTCATATATATCAGCTACATCTGGGGTATTCCTAGAGTACCAAGAATAACGTAGCAGGGCGTACCATGCAGACTTTCTAGTACAAGCTACCTAAGGAAAGGTGGTGCAGCGGCTAAAGGTGAAATAAAACACAGGCACAAGGGTGCCCCAAAGTCGTTTCTCAGAAAAGCACCACTCGAGGAAGGGCGAGCCTGGACGGGTATGGAGCCAGGGCCCGTCCCGCCCCGGGCACCTCGGCTCTCCGTCCTCTCTGTCCCTCCATTCCATCTCAATTCCACCCAGTCAATTACAGCCTCGGAGGAAAGCCACAGAGACCCTGTCCCGGATCTCCTCCCACCCCGGAGCCCCGGGGTTCCGTACCCGGTGTGCACGGAAGGCCTTCGTGAGGTACCGATAGGCCGCGGTGTCGCGATACGGTCGGCCGGTAGCTGCGCTTAGGTAGCGCAGCTCCCTCAGGAGGCCCCGCAACGTGCAAGCCGGGGACCCCAAGGCCGCCATTTCTCGCCCGTTCCCGAGGCTCCTCCCATCCCACCCAGGATGCTGAATGGTTCGTTCGGACCCAGCAGTCGACTCCCCCTATTGACCCCAGGCCAGTGAAACGTCACCTGTACCTGGCTGCGAAGCCGTGGTAATCGAGCGCCGAACGCGGCCTAGGAGTTAGACAGAAGCAAACGAGAGCCAAGTGTAACAGCAGAAGGTCTTCCAAGTCCTGCTGGGGGCGGCGGTGCAGTAGTCCCTTCGTCTTCAGGACGTTCCCATCCACACACCGCAGGCAGTTCCAGCGGGATGTGTTTGGTGTGGAATTCGCCCAGGAGGTATTTTATAGTGATTTCTAAAAGGGATTTTTAACCGACCCCCTAGAACCTTACGAAACCAGAGAGGAAGGAAAGGGAGGCTGCCGATTCTAGCAAAACGCAGTAAAAGCACACATATACTCATCCTTAACACAATAAAAGTAAATCGAGCCAATATCACTATATCGAAGGAAGAAAACTTTCTTGGGGTGGGAAAGAAAACGCAACCACCCCAGATGGGACTCGAACCCACAATCCCTGGCTTAGGAGGCCAATGCCTTATCCATTAGGCCACTGGGGCTTCTGTGAACGACGTCTTCAACCGACGTATTCAACGTTTAAACTGCTCGACGTCATCAGGACTTTCAGAACCGCTGTAACCGGTCCTAGGAAACCGCACCCCGTACCAACACGCGGGCCGCTGCATGCTGGGAGTCGTAGTCCAAAGAACAGAAGCCGCGCTCCTGCTACGGGAGCTTCACCTTAGAAGTCGAGCAGAGGCCGGACCGAGCGCGAGTGCGCGCACGGCTTGCGTATGTATTAACATGCGCTATCGCGCCTGCGCAAAAGCGAGCAGCGACGTCGTAGAGCAGAGCGCACAGGCTGTGTCTAGAAGTCTAACCTCTTTGAGCTCCTGCTCCATCGGGCTTTCACCGGAAACGGCCGGTCCCCTTCCGGTGTTGCGACCTTGCAAGCTTAGCTTCGCGGCAGCTGGCCGTTAGGTGGCGACCACAGCGGCCACTTTCTGTTTCCGGTTGAGCCACGAAGGGCATTTCCGCAAAGACGTTGGCGTGTTAGAAATGTTGCCTTGTTTTCAAATTGCGCGGTTGGGTGAAGAACAAGGCACAGTGGGGAGTTCGTAGTTCTTTCATCAGAACGTCATTAGAAATGAAATAATTAGACGTTAGTTCATTTCCTAGTTCTGTACCTAGCTGTGTAACTTGGACAAAGCACGTCTCTTTCTTGAGTTTCAGCGATCTTATTTACACATAAACTCTCGCAGGGTTCCCGCATTGCCTCTGAAGTTCAAGTTGTTAAAATGGACATTCTGAGTCCTGTCTAAACCGACCCTCCCCTCTGTCTTACCTTCAGATTCCACTATAGTTTCCTCACAGTCTACATTTTTCACTGTCTTAACCCACCACACCTTACTTAACTCCCTCTGCCTGAAGTTTAACAATTTCTATTACAATGTCCCATTAAGCCTTGGTCGTTTAGTATGTAAATCTAGGTCAGATGTTTCTCTAGGTCTTTGTAGTCAGTATAACAAGGTCAAAGCAATTCACTTGGCCTCCCCCATCATGAGTCAGGTATGTGAACTCTGAATACCTGAGAGTGGGGTGATTTCTTCAATGACTTTGTAAAAATTGCTATTTTGCTCACTTTTATGGATTGAATTGTGTGCTGTGGATATGACCTTGTTTGGAAATTGTTACTTACTGGACCTGGTGTGACGCAATAGGATAAGCACTCGACCTCAAGATCGGTTTGAACTGCAAGATCCACAGTTCAAACTCACCATTTGCTCCTCGGAAGCCCTATAGAGGTCACAGCACTGAACAACAATTATCAAATAGTTCAATGAAGTCTTACCGGAGGGGCAGTACTGGTGTTAAGTGCATGGCTGACTAGTGTCCTGCTGAGCCACTGAGCTCCCCAGCTCCTGAGTTGTTAAATGCCATCCAGTTGGCTCTGCCTGTATAGGGTTTCTGAGGAGTGGCTGCTGGGTTTAAACAGTTAGCAGTTCAGCGCCCTAGTAATACAATCTGAATCCTTTCTATGTGGCTATTTATGAGAATGACAGATTCAGAACTAGCCCAGGAACACGTCATATAAGAAGCCCACTACAGTGAAAGAGACAGTGAATGAACATGGCCCCCAGATTCCCTGATGTCTGCTGTTAGCCTCCAGAACCGTGAGAAAATCTGCTTTGGCTCTTTAAAGCCGTGCACATTGTGGTAAGTTTGTTATGGCAGCCCTAGAAAAGTAGGACACTAGTTCACCCACCATTATTATGAACTTTATTAACATTATTATTAACTGTTGTATTTACCACCACAATAACAGCATCAGTCATTATCACACACTTTCTCTGTGCAAGACCCTGTGCCAAATGAATTGTGAATACATATGATCTTATTTAGCCCTATGAAATAGATATTTCTTTAATTTTTACAAATCATAAAATAATGGATTTTATAATATAAAATATTAAAAGTACCATTATAAAAATATAAAGTAGGAGCACGTTTAAATCACAACATCTTATTGCCTTGAAAATGTCCAAGGTACAAATGTTGTTGTTAAGTGCCATCGAGTCTGTTCTGACCCATAGCAACCCTGTGCAGGGTTTCTGAGTAGCAGCTGGTGAGCTTGAACCACTGATATTGCAGTTGAAACTAACTTTGCAGTCTTGTGCATTAACCCACAGCTCCACACCAGGACTTCTAAGGTACAAATAGTATTCACATAAACTTGTTGTCCAAGTGTGGCGCTGTGGATTAATGTGCTGGACTGTCAATTGATTTGAACCGCAAGGTCTATAGTTCAAGCTCACCAGCTGCTCCTCGGAAACCCTATACAGGGTCGCTATGGGTTGGAACTGACGTGACAGCACTTGACAACAACCTTGTTTTGCTCGATTGACTTCATTTTGCTGGATTCACCATCAACACCCATGGAAGCAGCAGTCAAGAATCTAAATCACAGACTGCATTCGGCAAATCTGCACAAGAGCTCTTTAAAGGTTGTAGAGCAAAGATGTCAGTTTGAGGATTAAGGTGCGCCTGACAGAAACCATGGTATTTTCAGTAATCACATATGCATGTGAAAGCTGGATAATGAATAAAGAAGATCTTAGAATTGATGCCTTTTAGTTACAGTGTTTGAGGAGAATATTAAAAGTACCCTGCCATAAGAACAAACATCTGTGTTGAAAGAAGTACAGATAGAATGCTACTTGGAAGCTGTACTTCAGACATGTTAACAGGAAGAACCAGTCCTTAGTGAAGAATATATATCAGGAAGGACAAGTCCATAGAGAAAGATATCATGCTTGGTAAAGTGAAGTGTCAGAGAAAAAGAGGAAAACCCCCAACTGATGGATAGGTACAGTAGCAGTAGCAATGAGCTGAAGCGTAGCAGCAGTTGTGGGGTTTGTACAGGACTGGGCAGTGTTTCATTCTGTTGTGCATAGATAGAGTCACTATGAGTTGGTACCTTAACAACAACAACAAAACACTTTTAAGAGGTCTTGTGCAGTCAATTTGCCTAATGCAATACGTCATTTGATTTCTGGACTGCTGCTTCCATGGGTGTTGATGGTGGATCCAAGCAAAATGAAGTAATTGATGACTTCAACCTTTTCTCCATTTATCTTATTTATTTATTGGTCCAGTTGTAAGGAGTTTTGTTTTCTTTGCCCTGAGGTGCAACCCATACTGAAGGCTATAGTCTTTGCTCTTCATCATCAGTATTTTCCTCTTCACTTTCAGCAAGCAAGGTTGTATCATCTGAATATCACAGGTTGTTAATGAGTCTTTCTCCAATCCTGATGCCACATTCTTTATATACTCCAACTTCTTAGATTATTTGCTCATCATACAGATGAAATAACTATGGTGAAAGAACACAACGCTGGTGCACACCTTTCCTGATTTTAAACCATTAAATATCCCCTTGTTCTGTTTGAACAACTGCCTCTTGGTCTATGTACAAGTACCTCATAAACACAATTAAGTGCCCTGGAATACCCATTCTTTGCAATATTATCCACAGCGTTTCACGTTCCATACAATTGAAAACCTTGTTCATAGTCATTAAAGCACAAGTAAATATCTTTCTGGTGTTCTTTGCTTTAAGCCAAGATCCATCTGACATCAGCCATGATATCCCCTCGTTCTACGTCTTCTTTTGAATCCAGCTTAATTTATTGCACTTCCCTGTGGATATACTACTGCAGCCATTTTTTTAAAGTATATTCAGAAAAATTTTACTTGCATGTGGTATTAATACTATTGTCTGATGATTTCCGCATTCTGTTGGGTCACCTCTCTTCCAGTTGGTTAGCCAGGTTCTTGCCATAAATGTCCGTTTGTTGAACGATTTCCTTGTGTATCCTGTCA